GTTTTGTCCACTGGTACTATGTGTTATTTCCTCCCTCGCTTTACATGACAGTCATCAGGCATGGTATGGGGAGAATGGGCAAAGAAGCCAAACACGAATTCTCTCAGGCTCTGTTTCTGAATATTTTTTTAAATATGCCCTTCAATTTTATTCAGTCCTTTCTTGCATAGGAATAAGAGTGGAGTTACATTTGACTCTGTGAACACTTTGGTGGCTGGTTTTATTTTAAGACGGGCCAAGTATGGGAAGCACTGAAGTCATCCAATCTGAACTTCAGTTTCTTTAAAAATCCTTGACTCCTTTCTCTGTCCTCCTATGTGCTTAGTGCTTCTCTCCTGTGCCCGGCACATGATGCCCACCTTGCTCAGTCACTGTCCTGTGCTCATTTTCTGTGTCATTGTTGACGTTTGCTCATCTTTGTGGAGAGTGGTTGCAATCTGCCATGTAAGCATGGCTGCTTTTGTCCCATTTGTCCTTTGCTCAAGTCTCAGTTTTATCCTGTGAGGCCAAACCTGAATGGCTATGTATGTTGTATAGAGAGTGGCTGCTGTGTTTTCTCTCTAAATACTATGTGAAAACTAATGAGGCACCAACAAGAGTTTTGTGTGAAATCAAAGGCAGAGAAAAGGGTAATGAAGAAAAGCTTGATTTCAAGTAGTTTCTTCCTCATGATCAACAAACAAGCACTAATTCTCATTACCAACAGACACATCTGCTCCTCCTGGAAAATAATTAATGTGAAATGGGCTATTTTTCTATTACATCTTTTAAAACTATTGCTGATATTGCTGTTACAGTTACTATTGTTTTGCTTTAACCCCTTACAATATGAAAGCATCCCCTCTGAAGGATGAAGCAGTGAGTATTCCTGCCATCTTTTTGCAGCTTCAAAATAGTTTCTCTGTTATATAATAGGGAAAGTTGTTATAGTTTTAAATAGAGATGCTAGACTTTTTTTTAAACTTTTATCTGTGTTTATTTTATGCTGAATTTATTCCCGTTTTTTGTTTCTTCAGTTTCTTCTGGGATCTTTTTCTTCTGTGCACCCTCCTCTTCTGGCTTTGGAACAGTTTGTTCTTTTCAGTGAGGATCTTCTTGATGTGATGGGGGAGCTCATGTGTGGGTTAATCCAGCTGTGAGCTCTGGAAATTCATGAGCATCTTAGGTGCTTTGTTTACCTGGATGTGTTCAATGACCAGAGAGCATCTACGTCTAAACCTTAAGTTCAGCATACTCTGCATTTTTAAGCATGTGCAACCAGAATTCTGCACACTTTTATGGCTACTGACCCTGTGTCGAGCTCCACTGTTTGGCCTGGCCGCACTTACCAACTCCACCATGATACCACCCAAACGGTATACATTGCTTCTTTAAAGTGACATCTTTCAGATAATTGGTGGTGTTTCAGATATGCATATCCTTGATGGCCTGGGCAGTTTTACAGCGTTCTTAAAGTGCACAAAAAGATTTGAACCTTTTGATTGCATGACTTTGTAGGGTTTGGGATCAAGAGAGTAGGGAACCATCTTCACAGGTCACCCCAGGCTCACAGGAGGAGGAGGCCAAGGCCCTGCACTTTTAAAGAGTCATGTATGTGTTAATAGTTGGCAGAGAAACCTGTAAATGCAAAATAAAAGTGACATTTTTGTTCTAAAGGTTATTTCAGAAATGCCCTCCTAAATCCTTGTGAATAAAAATTACAGTTGCAGTGTGTTTATAAGCCCTTAAAATCCCTAAATCCTTAAAAAGCTGACCCATGCGCTTGAATAAGGACTTGATTTGCAGAGGTATCTCTGATTTTTAGAGAATCATTTTCCCTGTCCCTATGAAGCAATACTGACTTGAGCCTGCACCAAAAACTGTCCTTTACCATGTGCTTGTTAGTGTGTGAAGTCTGTACCTAAACAGGCTCGCTTCATTAATTTTGGGTAATTGATCTTAATTATCTAACATTTTTTTGTTGTGGTTCGCACAGTATCAGACACTCTAGCCAAACCCAAACCCTTGTAAAATTTATTCCAGTGAAACAGTTTTCACATTTTTTCCTCTGCTTTGGTTAGTTTGGATTTGCTTTATCGGCTTATCTGCAACAGGAATGACGTACTTCTTAGTGCTAGGACTGAACTCAGAAAAATTTTCAGCAAAAGGACCAGATTGTATCAGTGACCCCAGTGCATTGGGAGTGAGTCATCTCCAGTGACCCCAGTGTATTTGCCCCAAGAAGGTCTTGGGTTTGTTTGTTTTGTTTTTTGGTGGTGGTGGGGGGGCAGCAGGAATCATTGTAACCTGATGTATACATTCTATAGACCATAAGGCTGTTTTTCAGTTGTGTTTATTTTGGAGGTTAATACTGACATCTTCCTTCTTATCTGTGAGCCTCGGGCTCCTGCCCACCTACTTTCCTGTGCCTGCTTTCCTTGTCTTTACAACATCTTTGCCTCACCCTTGAGTGGCCTGGGACTGCCTCACCATGGTCTGCCCTTCTCTATCTCTTCAGTCCTGAATGAATGCCAGCCCTTCCAAGGCCCCTTTGTTCCCTCCCATTATTTTCCCCTAGAGTTTCACCCTGGTCCTGCATGAGCCAGTGTTCTATCTCCCAGTATCTACCTTACACTGTTTTGTATGTGCCTTCATGGTGCAGGGTGGCAGGAGGCTTGAGTAAAATTTATCCCAACAGAACAAGGAGAGAGAGGACTTGGTCTTTGAATGAACTGTGTCTGTTTTACATTCTAATCAAAGAACGTGATCCATAGTTAGAAAACGTGTGGCAGCCTGAACTCTGACCAGGGTGTGATGTGTTCTTCCTCTGCTTCTGACTCTGGAGTCAAGGGGACACTTGAGGCTTGGCTCTATAGCGGTTCTGTTACAGTGGAAGTGCTATAAATTCCTAAGGCTTCATACATTTTTCCCCCTCTTTGAAATGTGATGGAAGACATCACTGCTCACTTGTGGGACTGAAGATGCAGCGTATAGAAACAGTGGATCTCTTAGCAGGCCTCAAAGGACTGAACAAACTGTTCAGAAGGACAGTTAATAAATAATTGAGAAGATTCATGTGACTGCTATAAAGATAGTCTCACACCCATGCTGAGAAAAGTTGCCGTCCTTCACAAGCATAAGTTGGCCATCTTGGTTTGAAGGAACACGATTTTTTTACCCCACAGTACTGACTTTTCCCTAGACAATCTTTAGTGCTTCTGATCTTGAAGTCCCTCTCCCACAGAGAGAAACCATGGCCTTTTGTTTTTCCCATGGTCCTGTGAACCATTAACTAGTTGTGACTGTAACTTAGATATCCTGCTGTTTCTTTTCTGTCTCATAGTTTTCTTCCAGTAACAACTAGTAACAACTCCTAGGCTGCCATGTGGTACACAAAATTATCTGCAGTATGGGCATGGGCTACAGCTGGAGCATATAAAGTACTCAGTGCAAACATGATTACCGTTTAAGAACTCAGCCTTGGGCTGGCAAGATGGCTCAACAGGCACAGGTGCCTCCTGGCCAAGCTAATGGCTTGAGTTCTGTCTCTGGGCCAAGTGGTGGAGAGAAAGAACCAAGTCCAACAAGTTGTCTTCTGACCGCCACATGCACACCAAAGAAGCCCAGCCCCCACATTTAAAAAAACTCAACTTTTTTTTTTTGGGGGGGGTCTCTTTGTGTAGCCCTAGTTGTTATGGAACTCTCTGTGTTGACCAAGCTGGTCTAAAACCTACAGAGATCCACCTGCTTCTGCTTCCCCAGTGCTGGAATTAAAAATGTATACCACCACTACCCAGCTAAAAATCCAGCTTTTAAATAATAGTTAAATCTTGTGCTTTAGAAACCATTTTTTAAAGTGTGTGTGTGTGTATATGTGTGTGTGCTGCCTATCTGTATGCTTGTGTACCATGTGCATGTAGTGCCCAAAGAGGCCAGAAGAGGATGTTTTATCCACTGGACCCAGAGTTACAGATGCCACCATGTGGGTGCCAGCAATTGAGCCCCAGTTTTCTGAAAGAGCATTAAGTGCTCTTAACTGCTGACCCAACTATCCAGCCTAGGAGTCATTTATTAAAAATAATCTCTAAAGACATCCTTGACTCTTGGGTTAAATACCTTAAGAGGAGATGTGCTAATCTTTATGGCAGAAAGGTTATCTTTAGTGGCAGAGAGTCAGTGGGTCTTTGAGAAGTGTATCATGGACACAGAACACAAGCTTGCTTTCAAAATGAACTGCAACCATCTCCCTTTATTGTACACACTGGTTGGTCTTTTTTACTTGAAAGGGGTTGGAATTTTCTGGTTAATGATGTTAAATAAACAGGGACCTATTGGTGTTTGGGCCCTCAACCCAAAGTTTTATACATAGAAATATGGGAACTATAGGTGTATGTATCCTGTGGAAGCAAAAACTGGCCTCTTCAACTAGATTAAGTTCATGCTTACCACATTTTCACAAACCATGACTATCAGAGTGAGTATTATGACTGCTGGTCACCTAAGCAGAGCTCAGGTGTTCACTGACAATGACATGAATTCATCTTATTTCTGAAGCTGCTGTGGAGAGCCTACTTGTAAGTGGACAGGATGGAGTGGGAGGAACACCCTAACACAGCCAGCATTTGCCTTGAGACATATATTAGGAAAGAAAAGCTCTTTGTGAGAAGCCCCACTGTGTTCCTGTGACAGTAGGCATGGGTTCTCTGCCTTCCTTGGTTCATACTGTCTAGCTCAGTTTTATCAGTCAACATCAGGAAATACAGCATCAAGTCATTACTTGTTAGTTGCCATTGAAAAAAACAATGATGGCATCATTCCGATAAATGTAAGATGGTTTTAGAGCCCATTGTTCCACCTTGTACTGAGGAAAGCTTTTCAAAGGGCACTGCCCTGAAGTCTTCTGAATGAGCTGGTATGTTTAGGTGAATCATGTCTGAGGCAAAGCTCAGTGGACATGACCTGAGAATCTTAGGGATTAGAGTGCAAAGCCTGCCCTGGGCGTGGCCACTTAACACTGGTGCTATGGTCTATGAGCCATGTACAGCCCAGCCCCTATGGCACCCAGAGTGCTCTGGAAGCTGCCATTTATGTCGTGTGCCCCGCAGGACAACCCAATGCCACACGCGTCACTAACCCTGCTCCCTTTCTCGAAGGTGCCTGAGATCATCAGTTCCATCCGGCAGGCGGGGAAGATCGCCCGCCAGGAGGAGCTGCGTTGCCCCTCAGAATTCGATGACACCTTTGCCAAAAAGTTCGAGGTACTCTTCTGCGGCCGGGTCACCGTGGCCCACAAGAAGGCACCGCCAGCACTGATTGATGAGTGTATTGAGAAGTTCAACCACGTGAGCTGTGGCCGCAGAGACTGGGACGCACCCACGGGGCAGCCCTCAGCACCAGGTGCCCGGCCTATGCGCAAGTCCTTCTCCCAGCCCGGGCTGCGCTCACTGGCCTTCAGGAAGGAGTTCCAGGACACCAGCCTCCGAAGTAGCACCTTCAGCTCCTTCGACAATGACATTGAAAACCACCTCATCGGAGGACACAATGTGGTTCAGCCCACAGACATGGAGGAGAACCGAACTATGCTCTTCACGGTAAAGTCTTGGGCAGTTTTCTGCACCCTGGAGGTCTGAGAAAAATCATCTTTACACATCAGTGGTTGTAGACACCCTTTCATTGCTGAAAGAATAGTAATATAAAATAAGTTCAAAAAGGATGTTAAACAATGTATGTAAGTTTCAACACAATTTTAAGTGGAAATACTCTCTTACTAATTTATAAAAATCTATTGGTTATCAGGGTAATACAATTTTTAAATAACCTTATATTTAAAACTTATGCCTCAACTAAAATACTAGTTTAGTTGCTTGTATTCTTTTTTTCTTTCTTTTTTAAACAGAAAATTGTTAAACTGATAGCCATATGGAAGAAAAGGAATAGATAAGGGAGCCAGCTATTGGAATTTCATGGTGGCTTGGATTTTTCTGGATGGATGACTTCCCTGGGTATGAATGGACAGGACGGTGCCCTCTCCCTAAAGTGAGCTAGTCTGTGGCTTTTTCCTTGGCATATTTCTGCCTCTGCATCTTTGGTTTAATAATGGTAGTGGACAAAACTGGCTTAGCTGTAGTGTATCCTTTTTGTACTTAACCCAAGGCAATGAAATGGCCAAGGGGTAAGGAAACTGACTGCATAGATTAGTGTGGTGTGGCTATTGCTGGGTTTAAAAATCCAGATAATGGATCTGGAAAGATGGCAACCCTTTAAGAACACATAGTACTCCTGCAGAGGAGCCGAGTTAGTTAGGTCCCTAGCACCCATATCAGGTGGCTTGTACCCTCATATAATTCCAGTTTCAGGGATCCTCTTCTGAATTCTGTGGTGACCTGCACACACACACACACACACACACACACACACACACACACACACAGGCACACGTGGACACATATACATACAAAGCATAATAAATCCTTAACAATCCAGATGGTGTGTCAGGGTAATAGGGCTGGCTTCCTCTCATCATAATTGACCTAGCACACTGCAGAGTGCCGAGTTGGTGGTAACACATGTGCTTTAATCTGTAGTCTATATGCTTTTTCCCAAACACTGCAGTGTTGTTGAGAAAGCTACTCAGTGCATTTGTTTGTAAGTGACTACAATATGCTAGAAACAGGCAGTGAATAGTCTCTGCCCACACAGAATTTAGGTTCCAGCAATGCAGACAGGCCACTGACACACCAGCAATTATGTAATTACGATTGTAGTGAGCACTGTGGAGAAATAGTGGATGCCATGGGAACACTTGGGGAATCGGGAGAGGCATCTTTGAGGATGTGACTCTCACCAAGCAGAGGTTTCCCTGTGGCCAACAGGCAGGGTCTCCTGGATCCAGAGAGCAACAGGTGAGATGTGAGAAAGCTAGGAAGGAGCTATACTAGAGTTCTGAAGACATCGCCCCACTGCTTCGCCTGGCAGGTCCCCTCAGTTGTCCTGGCTTTACTTCCTTATTTCATGTCTTTACTGAAGTTACGTGACGTGATAGTGATGTGACATGGGAAAGCAATCATGTCAGAGATACCAATAGCAACCTCACATTCCCGGATCTCTGCAAGTGAACAAGTAAAGACCTTTGTGCCCCACGTAATCCCTGGCATCTCAGCCTTCATGAAGCTGTAGTTCTCCATTTTGTTCTTTGATTTGTATTTCATGTTAAAGGATAAAGAGCTTGGGAAGAGAAGCTTGTGAGTTAGAGTGATATGAGGATATGATCAGTAACTTGTTGATCCTGAGGAGGGATTAAATCTGTAGAAACCAACATACACAGGAACCAAAAAACTTCAGCGGATGGAGGCGATGGTCAGGTAGCAGACTTCAGGTAGCAGACTTCCACAGCCAGTCTGACATCATGACACTCTGCTGCCATAGGTGTTTTTGAAATTTTAAATAGAAACTATTCTAGTGACTTGTATAGAAAACTGATTTCCTGTTGAAGGGGATGTGGGCTTTAAGGACTATTATCATCACTTAGCTGTGTGGTCCTTTCTTCTCAGAATACTGCTGTATCAATCACAGAGGTGTTTGTCCCTGTCTTTTGAAATCCATGCCATAAACTGCAAACTTTGAAGCTCTTTTGCAGTGATAGTTTTATCAGACCTCGCCACTTTCCTCTTTACCCTCATAGGCCATATACTGAATCAGTTTTCAGGAGAACTACAATTCTTTCTTTTTGTTTTTTAAGATTGGCCAATCTGAAGTTTACCTAATCAGTCCCGACACCAAAAAGATTGCACTGGAGAAAAATTTTAAGGAGATATCCTTTTGCTCTCAGGTAAATGGAGACAGATTATTGATTAAATTTCAGTTCTTCTAATGCATGCAGTAGGAGCACTGTTGGGTAAGAAAGCAGCTTTTAAATCTTGATTGGTAGTCTCTATCTCAAAGTTTACTAAGGCAAATTATAATCTTGAAATTAACAATTTTGCTTTTTGGAACAGTATACTAAAGAAACTTGTCTACCTTCCTTTCTTTTCCCTGTTACTGGTACTAATTCTTTCTAGCTATCTCCAAGGGCTTATATGTGTGTGCATGTTTTATGTATAATTGGTATGTACATTGTGCACATGTCTTATGTGTAATTGATGTACATGCATGCTTTACATATAATTGAGATATATATGATATACATGGTTTATATATAATTGATATGTGTTTTTATATATAATTCATATGTATGTTGTATAGAAACATTTCTACTTTCTTGAAATTCTTAATTTTATAAAATTCTCATTATTTCTTCTGTAAATATAATGAATGATACTTATGTTTGAGGGGGTTTTATCCAGAATGCAGTGTCTACTTGAAACTTTCTGTGTTTGTTAGTCTTCTAGCTGTGTTTCATAGAGACATCAGGGAGGAATCTGTCAATTGCAATGAGCCAGTTTTCTCCGGATTGTCCTGGCAAATAAGAGATCATTTATGTTCTTGTTTGATGATTTATTTTTTTCTTATATTCCAACTTTTCCTTTCTGTAATAAGGTGTAAAAATCTTAGTTGTTTGTTACTCTAAAATGCAAGCTAACTAAGTAAACAAAAGGATATTGTTCTTAATTATGATAACAAGTAATGTTCGTAATAAGCTGTATAGGACAACCTTTTCAAAGAAACTTTGATAAATCACATCTCCCGTGTAGCAGCCTCTGTTATATGCTTAGTTTGCTGATGGAGGACACTGATTGAGATCAGGATATATCAGCAATTACTGGAAAATACTTGTTTGATAGTGATATCATCCTAATTATGTTGAAATGTTAAAATGTTAATGTTAGGCTGTACAGTGGTATCACATGAATTTAATTCCAGAGGCAGGCCAATCTCTGTGAGTTCATGGCCAGTCTGGTCTACAGTTTGAGTTCTAAGATAGCCAGAGCTAGGCAGAGAAACCCTATCTCGAAAAGCCAAAAAAATAAAAATAAAAATAAAATTAGCGTTAGATATTTAAGGTCTCTCTAGGCAGCCCATGCTATCCTGGAACTTGCTATGTAGACTGTGCTGGTCTTTGAACTCACGGAGATCCATACCTGCCTCTGCCTCCCGAGTGCTGGAATTAGAGACATGCACCACCACGCTGGGAGACCTTTGCTTTTTTAGAGTGGCATGGTAGTTTATTCTATCCTAAAGAAGAACAGTTCATCAGATCTAAACCTTAAGTTACACACACCCATTCTTCTGCAAGGTGATGCTTTCAGAAGCCTTAATAATTAATAGTCACAGAGATATTTCATTTGTACTTAGGTTGTTGTTTCAGTTTCCTTTCCTGTTGCTGTGACAAAATACCCTAACAAAGCAGCTTGAGGGAGAAAGGTTTTATTCCATTCACAGTTCTGATGTATAGTCTGTTACAGTGCTCAGCTTTCATTCTCTTTTTTGTTCGGTCCAGGGTGTGGCTCATGCGTCATCCATATTTAGTGATTACAATTAATGTAATCAAAATAATCCCTGCAGACATTCCCAGAAGCCCTTCTCCCAGGTGATTGTAGATCTTGTCAAGGTGACAATGAAACTCGCCGTTGGTGCTGGAAAGATGGCTCACTATTTAAGAGCACTGCTTGTTCTTGCTGAGGACCCAGGTTTTGTCCCCACCACTCACATGGTAGCTCATAACCATTTCTAACTCCTGTTCCAGGGAATTGGACATCCATATGTGACCTCCAGCAACACCAGGCATGAGCACAGTACATATACATACATCAAGGCAAAACACTCATACCCATTAAATAAGCATAAGGCTAGAGAGGACATCACAGTTGCTTCTGACAGATTTGGGAGGCAGCGACAAGGCACTCTGTTCCCTGTGGCTTTCAGATTGAGTTTATGTGTTAAGGTTTATTATGAGAGTGTGTGCCACACTGGCAGAGCCCTGGCTTTCGTCTCAGAGATGTCAAAGCTGCTCGTCTTTGCATATAAGTGATTTTTTGCTCATTCTTCATGCCAGCTCAGTTCAGTATTTGCTTGTCATTTTGGTAGCAACACAGTTTGAATCTTTTTTAACCTTTATATATGTGAGTTGTGTGTACATGTTTGTCCCTTTGTGTTGGTGTGAGAGCTGTTTCTTGATCTCTGGTATGCTATTGATTTTTGAAATAGTTTTTTTTTTGGGGGGGGGGTTCCGAGACAGGGTTTCTCTGTATTGTTTGGAGCCTGTCCTGGAACTCACTTGGTAGACCAGGCTGGCTTTGAACTCACAGAGATCCACCTGCCTCTGCCTTCCGAATGCTGGGATTAAAGGTGTGTGCCACCAACGCCCGACTTGAAGTAGTTTTCATTCCTTGGGCTCCTCTCCACATACTGCAGGATCTAGTTTTCTGTCAGCTACATCTACTTCTTTTTTTAATATTAAGTGAGCATTGGGATGTGAGCAGCCAATGCTCTCTTTGTGAGGTAATAGAAGTAATATTTGACTGGGGTGCTAACCTTTATTTAAAAACACGTGAGCAGCGTCTCCATGAAGCATACTCCTGCCAGCCATGCTTCTGCTCCATACCACTCACAGCGCTTCTTCCTCCCTGCACAGGGCATTAGGCACGTGGACCACTTTGGGTTTATATGCCGGGAGTGCTCGGGCGGTGGCGGCTTTCATTTCGTCTGTTACGTGTTCCAGTGCACAAATGAAGCCCTGGTAAGAGGCCCACACTGCCCACTGCAAGCCCCATGAGGAGTTTCCAGCCTGCCAAGTTTTCTGTAGAACTACAGGCATTGTTAACATGGTGATATTTGGTTTAGTTATTCACCTGTGACTAGTACCTTTCTGCTATGCATCCTAGTGAGACTCATTTGAGTTTTGTTTTAAATTTCAATACTTTTGAAAGACATGCTTGCTTTTACTCTCATGCAGCATTTAGAAATTTCATTTTCCCAGGGTGTGGTGGCCCTGTTTTGTAAATCCCAGCACTTAGGCTGAACGCTATAGCATTATAGGACAAGTTTGTAACTCACTTGAGCTATATTGTGAGACCTGGTACTAAAAAGAAACAGGGAAGAAAAAAAGTAAAAAGAAAAGAAAATCCCTGTAAACTTTGGACCATTTTATCTTGTGCCTCACCTGCATTAAGAGTGCTATATCTCTAAGTGGTCACCCTCAGACCACAATCTTAGCAATTATTTCCACTGTGTTCTGTCAGTCCATGAAAAATCGCTGAGAAAAAAGTTTACAGGACAAAGTCTCTTTTATAAACTTGCTGTTGACACTTTGTTCTCTGCCCAGGTTGACGAGATCATGATGACTCTGAAGCAGGCTTTCACGGTGGCCGCTGTGCAGCAGACTGCTAAGGCACCAGCCCAGCTGTGTGAGGGCTGCCCCTTGCAGGGCCTGCACAAGCTCTGCGAGAGGATAGAGGGTGAGTAGGATACACTGTGTGCCTGTAGCACAGATGCCTTGGGTGGGAGTATTTGTGGCCCTGTTCTGCTGGGGCTGCTCCAGGGGGATCGTGTCAGAGGGCTGCATCATATGTGAACTCACACTGTGCAGTGGATGTCTGATGTAAGACAAGAGGTTTTCCTGAGCATAATGGGACCCATATCTCCTCTTGTCATCTCTCCTCAAGACACTCTGAGAGTAATGGAAAAGTTAGGGACTAAATGTCACCAAATATTTTTTGAGCTGTGTGAGAACAGCAGGTCATTTGGATTGGCCACCACAGAGAGACTGGAAAATGAGACCTAAAGATTTCAACTCTGGTTTTCCAGTAGATGATCACCTGTTATCTCTGCCAGGGCAGTTTGAATGGAGGGGAGCAGAAAACAGGCTACAACTAAGGCATCAATGGGAGGGAATAAAAGATTTGGTGACCATATTAATTATAGTTTCTAGAAGCTTACAGTAGAATGTCATCATTTGCAAGAATTTGATTCTAAGAGGAGCCAGTTACTGTGCTAAGTTGTTTTTAAAAGATATTATCAGTTATCAATTTTGTCTTCATCATGTTTGTGAGAAAAAAGTGGATTATTGTGTAATTCTATAAATAAATTAGTGGAATATTAGAGCCATCTAGGGATAAACTAGCATATAGCAAGTCCAGGATGCACCGCCCTGACTGTTATTGAAGCCAACTGTCTCTCAAGAGTGGAAGGACCCTCTTGAGCAGGGAATGTTCTGCTGGCAATAATAACATCTGGTGTGGGTCAGCAGGGAGGTATGGAAGACAGGGTGATGGAGGTGGTCGGTGCTCATTTGAAAGATACAAAAAGGGAAGTGTTTGTATTTCTTTTTTCTTCATTTTGTATCTTGTCCTATCTGTAGGAAAATTTCTAAACTTTTTGTGTGTGTTTGATTCATGAGACTGTTACATCATTTAAATTACCTAATTGTAAAAACAAAAATATGATTATTATATATCTAGAATACTTGACACAAACTCAACAAACTATAATTCTGTGAAGAAAGACTATATTGACATTTAGACCTAAAAGAAAAAAAGCCACACACTTTTTTTTCTAAATAATTGTGGGAAAAATATACCCAAACATAAAATTTATCATTTTAACTTAAAAACAAAAACAAAACAAAACCATACAGTTTAGTGGCCTTAAGTCTATTTAGTGTGGAATAACCTCTGACTACTGTCCATATACAGAACCTTCTCATCTTCCTGAATCATTACTCATTCAGCAGTCTCTCCTCTTTGTAAGGTTCCCATAGCCCCAAGCAACCACCATTCTACTTTGTTTTCCCATGTGGCAGTTGTGGTGTATGAATGTATGCATTGGTGGCGTGTGAGTGTATACATGTCTGTGCCTGCACATGTTGAAGCCAAAGCAGGGAGACAGGTGCTTTCTTCTATAATTCTCTGCCTTGTCCAGAGACAGGGTTTCTCACTTAACCAGAAGCTATTTTTGGCTGGACTAGTCTGGCTGGCAAGTGCTGGGTCCACTTGTTTCTGCCCCCCAGTGCAGGAGTTACAGGCACAAAGCAGGATGTCCTGCTTTGAACTCTGGTTCACTTGCTTTCAGAGTAAGCACTCTTACTATTGAGCCACCCCCCTTCCACCACACTCTACCTTTCTGATTCTACAAAGTGAATTAATCTAGCTACCTTATATAGTGGAATCAGTAGAATTTGTTTTCTTCCTTTTAGTTTCTTTCACTTAGCATTATGTCTTCTAGATTTGCCTATTTTGTATGTGTCAGAATCCTATTTGTTTGTATGACTGAATAATATTCTATCAGTTGCATGTGTTTGTTCACCATTGGACATTTAGGTCATTTTGACTGTGTGAGCAGCAATGCTAAGAATATTGGTATAAACATCTGCTCAGGTTTCTCCTTTCAGTTCTTCTGGGTAAGTGAAATTATATGGTGAGTGTCCTACTTAGGGTTTTGGTTACTGTGATGAAACACCATGACCAAAGCAACTTGGGAGGCAAAGAGTTTATTTGGCTTACACTTCTACATCATAGTCCATCACTGAAGGAAGTCAGGACAGGAACTCAAACAGGGCAGGGACCTGAAGGCAGGAGCTGAGACAGAGAGACCATGGAGGGGTGCTGCTTACTGGCTTTCTCCTCATGGCTTGCTCAGCTTCCTTTCTTATAGAACCCAGGACCCTCTGCCCAGGGATAGTACCACCCACAATGGGTTGGCTCTCTCCCATTGATCACTAATTAAGAAAATACCTTAGAGGCTGCATACAGCTTGATCTTATGGAGGCATTTTTTCAATTGAGAATCCCTCCTTTCAGATGACTCTAGCTGTGTGAAGTTGACATAAAACTAGCCAGCACAGTGAGTCTAACTTTCAGGCCCTCCTATACTGTTCTCTAATGATTATCTTTGCACCATATACAGATTCTAACTTCTCTGCATCCTTACAAAAACAAATTTTATGATGGTAGCTGTCCTAATAGATATTAAATGTTATCTTTTTTTTAAAAAAAATATGACTTAGTAGTTGACATCATAAAGTCTGAAAAGGTTCACTTTGGGCATTACAGAACCTTTGATATGAGTATGATTGATGTATTTTTAAAACTAGTTCCCAAGTTTCCATGTCGTTACTATTTGCTGACAGCATATGAACTGTATCTGGGAATAAGAGTCTGCTTTAACAAGAGATCCCAACTGAGAGGCTCACTAGCTCTTTCATGGTAGCTGTCAAGATAAGGCAAAATGATGATGGAGATGCCCCTCAGGGCCTATGAAGAAGCCAGCAGTGACTTTGGCCTTACAGATAGAGGAGGTCATGATCTGCAGAGTTCAATACTGCTGAGTTCTATTTGGGAAATCTGTATTGGCCGGAGTGCTCAGAAAGTTGTAGCTGGAACTTTTAATCGGGATCAAGATTTCGCTTTTGTAACTTGGGGAATGACCATTCGATTGTCTTTTACACAATAAAATCAAACCAAGGCAGAAAACTGTACAAAGCATCCATTACACATTACACAGAGCCATGAGGAGTGTGGGGAGTGTGTGTTTTACCCACTGTGTGAGAAGCATTTTTAAAGGAATAGATGGTGAATTATGAGATGCCACCTTGGTAGAAGTACTGATGGCTTAATGGACAGATTTGGGGTCCATTGAGTTTTGTGGTTGCAGTCTCACTAAGTGGAATGGAGTGCTTTATGGAAATCCATTGTGTATTACTGTAAGGGTAGGCTTGGGTGGGGACATAGCTCAGTGGTACATCACTGACCTAGCATGTATGAGGTTCCAGGTTCCATCACAAAGAACCCACACCAAGCATCTTGTCATTACCAGTTGAGCATCCCTAATCCTAAAATCTAAAAGGCTCCAAAATCCAAGACTGTGGCTCAGTGGTAGAGTGCTTGGCTTGCTTACGTAATATCCTAGGTTCACTCCCCAGTACTACCCCCTGCAAAAAAAAAAAAAAAAAAAAAAAAAAAAAAAAAAAGGTTCTATCAGGAATTTGGGTTTGACCAAGCACTCCACGAAATATAGAAAGGACCAGTAGCATGACCACAAGAACAAGAAGAAAGACTTATAAAATGTTTTCTTAAGCAGTTGATGTAGTCAAACTATACCCCAGAATGTATAAAACAGAATAAGTATGTGTAGATACCCAATGCTGATATGTGTGCACAGCCTCTAAGGACCAAAACTACTTTGAATTACTTACTTGAACTGTATAACTATACAACTGCTATGGTATTGAATAGTATTTTGCTTATTTCAGAGTTTAGAGGAACATTTTGGAGATTGTAAAATTAATCATGCTGTCTCTAAGAAACAAAATATTGAGTTGAGGTAGAATGATCTGTGTATTGAGGCATCTGAAGTCTGGCTGGGGCAAATCAGAGGACCCATCCATCTATCCTGTGGAGAAAAGGATGAGGTTTAGGATTGCATCTGATGTTTTCAGTAGCCCAACTACTCTAGTCTTCACTTCCTGGAGAGTTATAGTTTCCCCCACTTGCTAACAGTACGATAGCTCCAGAGTTAGATGTATAGACTGCATTAGACATTTTTTCATATTTGGGAGGATTTTTAGTTGCTGATTACTGAGTACTTATTTTATTAATAAATTCAAACACTGTTGTGTTTCAGTATTGAAGTATTGTTATAGAAGGCCATGAGCCTGTTCCCCTAGCTCTGTATAACCCTGCCTAGTGCTGCCAGTTAAGGAGGACTTTGGCTTTGGGCAGGCTGGCTACTGATGCACCTTCTGACCTCGCATGAATTCACAGGCTCCTGTGGACTGCAGCAAACTCAGCTGTAAAGTAGGGGTATGTTTCCTGAGTCCCAGTGGACTCCCTGCTCTGGCAGGGTTTTCTCCAGCCCTCAGTCATGGAGATGCATTGACCACTGCCTATAAGGTTGAACTTCCCAAAGTACTCATAGTCTTTAGTTATCGTTTCCCTGGTCTCTTGACCACATCCTGTTGAGCAGAATGCTCCCATGCAGCACACACCTGCAGCTCGGGAAGTTCATTGATTACTGTGATCAATAGAATTGGAACAACCTCCCTCCATCTCCATCCCACCGCTTACCTCTGGTATGATGTCATTATAGTTTGGAGCTTTATAAACCCTACCCTGCTTCAGTTCAGGACAAGATTTTTTTGGTGGCAGGAGTCTGCTCTTGGTCTGCAGCTTGAATAAAGGACTCTTATTTGTCCTTAAAGTCTTGGTGGCTCATCAGTTACTCATGGGTATTTTAGGCTTAGCCCCTGAGCAGTGCTCCCCCTCAGCACGGGGAGACTTGGACTGGCAGAAGAAACCAGCAACAGGCCTTTATTCTGGGGTGGTTGGGTTAGCAAGCTAGTTTATTCTCATTTGTCACTGTGACATTTATACCTGAAAACACACAAACTAGGCCCTGAAATGTATTTACACAGCAATGGAATGTCTTAATGTTAGATTCTAATGGGTGCTGGGCTTTTATGTAGACATTTTGATGAGTGTTCCTCAGAATCTTTTGTAATACTAATGAACTGGTCCTTTTTTAAAAAAAAAAAAAAAATTATTTATTATGTATACAGTCTTCTGTCTGCATGCCAGCAGAGGGCACCAGATCTCATTCAAGGTAGTTGTGAGCCACCATGTGGTTGCTGGGAATTGAACTCAGGACCTCAGGAAGAACAGTTTGTGCTCTTAACTGCTGAGCCATCTCTCCAGTCCAATGAACCGGTCTTAAGACTGTTGAAATAGGAGAGGAGCACTGTCAGCCACGAGAGTTGCTGTGTGAAGGGGATATAAGTAGAGTACAAGGGAGAAATGTGGATCAGTTTTCAACTCCATACCACTTGCTTTTCATTAAGAAAGTGTTTTCATGTTCTTATGTAGTTAGAAGAGTTTGTCATTTTTGAAGAAAATGTTTGGATTATCAGCAGTAATTTTAACACTGAGAAAGTAATTTGGAGCTACATGCACCTGTGGCAGAGTACAAATGGGTGGCATTTGAAGACATTTTATAAAGTCTTGTGTCCTTGGTTTTCCTGAACATGAAGCTGGGATAATAGCATACTCTCAGTGAAAGGAGGCAGGTTGGATGCTTGGTGTACAGCCCTTCACACAGCAGCGTGCCATTCAAAGTAACTCCATTATCAAATAGAAGTGTCCTGAAGTGGGTGGGTGAGTCTGGAATGTGTTAACTGCAGCTCTAAACATCCCCCATTGACCTATTGTCACCTTCTCTCTTCCCAATAGGAATGAATTCATCTAAAACGAAGTTAGAACTCCAGAAGCACCTGACCACACTGACCAATCAGGAGCAGGCAACCATTTTCGAGGAAGTTCAGGTACAGGACATTGTAGTGTCTGGTGGGAAAGTGTACCAGGCAGCTGCTTGTGCAGTGTCCTGTGTACTGAGAGGGGAGGAGTCGGCACCGTCACTGCTCCCCAGGGGCATGAGCCACTGTTGTCTTATTAGAAGGTGTGCAGCCCCTCAGACCAGGAGACAGAAGGCCTGGGTGTGGGTCCACATGTTCTCCTCTGCTCCCTGGGAACTTCTGTCAGCCTCTTCCCACTCAGGATTCCATCTCCCACTGTGGATGTCACAAGATATTTGTATATATAGGTTTAAGCATAATTGTTCTCAGCCTTTTTCTTTTCTCTTTTGAAAATGTATATGTCGTGTTAAGTGTTTAGAGCCATATAATAAATAGAAACTCAAAAGTCAGAACAGAACAAAACCACCACACAGAGAAGCACCCTCACAAGCTGTGTGCATTACCCTTGGAAGTCCGGCCTCACCATACTTGGAGCTGCTGCATCTGGGCAAACCAGGTCAAGTGTATCAGCCAGCCTATGTATGGCCTGCGTGCAATGAATCTCTGATGAGCTCAGTCTACACAATTTTCATGTCTGCTGGAGCTGGGAGCCATCTTTGTAGTTTTCTGGCACTTTTCAAAGGAGACAAGTGTGGCCACTAGTGACTTGGCAGGTTCTACAGTTAGGGGGTGATTAAACCACACAAGCAGGTAGCTGGGTGTGTTGTTCTCACCCCTCATGGGGGAGGACATGAAAGGGTCTGCTTTACTTTCTGGTCTCTCAGTAAACTTCTCTAATTCTCCTGTTCTTCTGTAGGATTGGCATACAATTTTAGAAAGAAAGACTAGGAAGGGTTTTTGTTATTGTTTTAATTTTATAAATGGCCTTGAGGGTTTTCACAATTTTTATTTGCCTCTGTGTTTTGTTGAGACTCAACTTTGCTTCTCATTCTTAATGCATTGCAACTGAAGCCAAGGCCATCAATGCTAACCAACTTAGGGCGTGGTACTACCAAGTCACTCAGCGAGCACCATCCTGGCAAGCACGGAAGACATACTTCCCTTCCCTAATGCAGGTTTTCACTTTTATATGGACCACACCATGGAGCTTTCCCCAAACAGTGTGATGATGACTCAGTATGGGCAATTCCCAGAAGTGGGACGTCTAATGGATATGATCCCTCTCCTCCAGGAACAGAGAGACACTTGAAAAAGGCAGATAATAAAAGTTCACTGAAAAAGCAGAAGCATCCAGCTGATATTATAGAGTAAAATTTAGTGTTCTCCACAGCTCTAGATTGTGCTGTCTCTGAAGAACAGAAGCAGCCATGCTGTTCACTGGCCTGGAAAAGCCAGCTCATCCATTACCTTCCACCAATGGCAACGCTGGCTCTGTTTGAGAGAGATAGTCTGATCTTCTCTGATGGTGGATTGATGGTCTTCCTGCATGGCTTCCATGGTTTTTCTAAAACATTTTATAGGCCCAGTCACTAATCAGTGATGGGTGGTATTCTCTACCAATGTATTTGAATATTCACACAGTTCGGAAAGGTCATATGAAAATGGGATGTAGTCTTTCCTGGGGGGGGGTAATTTATTTCTGAAAAACCCTCCCAAAGGCCAATTATATAAGCCCGGTATAATTACCTCTGAAACTGATACTTATTATTTTGTTACTAAACCATGTATATTATACTCCGTGCTTCTTTTGGGAGAAAGCTTAAATAATAACTAAGCAAATGGTAGTAGAGATGATGGCTGCTGACCGCAGGCCCTGGGAGTAAATGATGGCACATGGGCACTGGGATATTAGTCTCTCATCTCCTAAAGGAACCGGCAACACCACAGAACTACCTTTTATTTACAAATGTGAAGTGTGTGATTTTTTAAACATACCTCGGTGACCATCTGTGCCAATGACAACACGGAGTCTCCCTCTTTTCTCATGCCACCCTACTCTTCGAGTGCCCCAAATTGCATTGGCCATCTTCAGCAGAAATAACTACCTCAGGCTGACATTGTGGTAATAATAATAAAAATAGCTGTTCAAAGTCTTTAATTAAACATCAAGTGTGGAATCCAAGTAAAGCATGTCTTAAGTGACTTCCTTGGAGCACCTTAGACTTTTCCAGTATTCTGACACTTAACTGTCAGTATCAGGATTTTTTCTGTTGCTTTTATGATACTTTAGAAGACCCTTGGAGAAACAAGGTTAAGAAACAGATTAACTTTTAGCAAGAAGTTGGCTGTTTTGGATTGTTTGAATTGATGGAAACATTTATAGAAAAGCATACAAATGGATGGTCTTTGTACTTGTGGAGTCAGCACCAAGGTTGAGCACAGAACCTTTTGTTTGCTGCTAAACACACTTCATTGTTGCCCTGGGTAACCCCATTGCAGCTCCTCACATCTCTGATTTCGAACAAGCAAGTTAATTATTGACCTCAAACTGATGCTACTTAACTCGATTCATTATCATTTTTGTGATTGTCACTCGGATTAATAAATATGAAAGAAGTAGTAGTTTAGCCACTGTAGAGAATGGTGAAGCCACGTGAGAGATTTTAGGGTGATGACACATCCCTAACCTTTTTGAATGCAGTAGGAGGGTAGCCTTTCCATATTTCACAGTTATTTTGAGGAAGTATTTATTTCTTGACTTTGTGTGGCACTAGATACTACATTTCTGCTGCACTGCAGGGATTGCCTTGGGATGCTTAATGAATTCCAGTGGGGTCTCATGGCTCCTGTGGTCAGTGGTCAGCAACTGCAGTACTCTACCATGCCTTCTTGTGATTTCATTTTCTGCCCATTTGAATTGTTTGTCCGTCTCTCTATCTGTCTCCTGTATAAATGCTCATGAGCACTCCTTGCTTCCACTGTGTAATTCTATTGATCAACTTGGCTCAGCTAGTTGTCAGCAAGTGCCTTTATCTGCTGAGCCAACTTGCCATTTAAAATGACCTTTTTCTAAGGAAGAGCATGTCAGAAGTCTGGGATTAAAGTTTCCTTTGTCTGTAATGCTTGTGACTCTAAGGATAATACATGGCATTGACCCAGACTTACTGCTTGTATAGTTGATCTGTTTGTCACTCTCTTGACCTGTTAAAGGACAGACTAGAAGTCTGGAGATAAATAGGAGGGCGGGGCAGTGGAGCTGACAGTATTAGCAAAGCTTCTGGGCCAGATACTCTGTGTTTCTCTGAGGTCATTTGGGTAATTGGTTTTATTTATGTTTATAATGCAAAGATCTGGGAGCTGGAGGAGATCATGGTCTATTAGGGGAAGCTAGACAGAATAAATTGGTTACTGCTAGTAACTAACATGTACATGTGCTAATTTGTAAAAGGGTGTGCCATGCCCCTGCTACCAAATTAAAAGTCCTAGAGGGGAATGTAAAGAAAAAAGGCTAAAAGGGGGAAGGGAAGGGAAGGAAGAAAGGAATGGAGAGGGACAGAGGGGAGGGGAGGGAGGGCAGCATGAGAACTTGGCATGCAGTTTTTCATACCTGCTTCACGGGGTTGCCACAAAGTGCCTCATGATGAACACGTTGCTGTGTTCCTTTCTAGGTCCCTAACCTTAAGAGCCTATAAATGTGTAATCATTATGACTTCGGTGTCTACAGAGTTTTGCTTTATCTGTTTTTAAAAGATGTTTATTTATTAACTATTGTGACCACCACTATCTGATGTTAAAATTTTTATCTTGGGTAAAAGAACATCAAAGATCGGCTCCTAAGTCTGGCCCAGGGGCTATGCTGTGTTTCTTTTAAATAATTACCTCTACTCTGGTGCCCCCTCGTGAGAGCATTGAGGAAAAGCACTAGTAACTAGGTGGAAGCTGTTAGCCCTTTGGAAGGGGATGTGTTAGTAGTGTTGTTGACAATTAAAAATAAATATGTTATGCTTCTGTTTTTTTTTCCCCAAAAGAAATTGAGGCCAAGAAATGAGCAGCGAGAGAATGAATTAATTATTTCTTTTCTGAGATGTTTATATGAAGAGAAGCAAAAAGAGCACAACCACATTGGGGAACCAAAGCAGGTACGTTCTTCATGATCCCTCATACTTATATATGGCTATTCTATACACAAAATTGGGATTTGGGGATACACGGGAGGCCTCTTTTTCTCCATCAGTTTTATTTTCATTTTGCACACAGAGAACATGAGGGCGTGTTTGTAGTGTTAAAGGTAAAGAGACATTTCTGTCTGTACCATAACAGGTTGTAGCCACAGTGCTGATCTAAAGAGATGTGTGATTTGGGAAACTGGACTTTGTTGCTTTTGTCCAGCTGCTCTTGGAAGTATATTCAGGGTCTTTAAGTTTCTTGTTGTATAAATGCTATGTAAATGTGAGACAGTGTCTTTGGCCTGCCAGATGCACTTTCTTATATGTTTAAACCTGTTCCAGACACAAATTCCCATGGCAGAGGGCACATGAGTACAGAGTACTCAGAGCTGTGCCCTGTGTACTGTTCCCCAAAGGCTCCTTTGTTGTCTGGTAACTGAACTCAGTGCTATTTTACTTGGGCACAGGCTTAGCAACTCCCTCCAGTTGGTGTCTACTTGCCAGTTGGCTTTGGCAATCAAGTTCTTCTCTGGAACTGTTAGAGCTTTTGTGGTCTCTGAAATTGCTTTCTCATCAGCCAGTTTAGGGCTTAGAGCAGTGAACTGGCACTAGAATATCAACTGTGCCCTCAGCTCTTGGTCTCACTCTGCTGCCAGCCCTCCCTCCCTAGCCTGTTCCTATAAGGCCCTTTCCGGGTCCTGAGCCCACCTCTTTACTAGTGTCATGGCCCCACCCAGTCAAGCTTTCCAGGGTCTTCTCTAGTTCACTTCAGCTGATTTATTACTCTCTCTCTCTCTCTCTCTCTCTCTCTCTCTCTCTCTTTCTCTCTCTCCACACACACACACACACACACACACACACTACAACCTACACACCCTTTTAATACCTTGTGCCACAAAAATCTTTTCTGACTTTTTTTTTCTTTGAGTCAGTCTGACAGGAAATTGATTATTTTGAAATCTTATAACTGTTAGAAAAACAGAACTTACAGATGGAAGTTTTTACTTAAGTACAAATTAATTTTTATGATTTGGGCATAGTTCAGCCCCTTGGAGAAATATATCTAATGCTTTTTTCCATTTCCCAAACACAAGAGACTGATGTGAAGGAGGTGGAGCCTCACAGTCAAGACTGGCATTTGTAGTATATCATGCTTATGAGCTATTCCATCCAGCTTGCAAAAGCTTTTTTTTTTTTTCTTTGCTATGTAGAGCAGGCTGGGCTTGAACTCACAGGTGTCTTGGCTACTGCCCCTGCCCTCTGGGTGCTAGAGTACAGTCATGCACCAATATACCTGGCCTCTACAGCATTTTTATTTTTTTATTTTTTTATATTTATTTATTAATTTACTTATTTATTGGTTTTTCGAGACAGGGTTTCTCTGTGTAGCTTTGGAGCCTATCCTGGCACTCGCTCTGGAGACCAGGTTGGCCTTGAACTCACAGAGATCCGCCTGCCTCTGCCTCCCGAGTGCTGGGATTAAAGGCGTGTGCTACTAACGCCCGGCCCTCAACAGCATTTTTAATTGGGTAGTAAAATACTCATTTTAGAGTTGAAGTATCAACAGACATCAGAAAACTTGCTAGCGAAGTCTAAGTATATTATTTTAGTCATAATTTTAGGAGCTTAGCAAAATTTAGTGCTATAGAATTTAATTGTGGATATCCGTGGATTCATTTTCAAGCAGTTTTTTCCTTTTTTTCCTGATGTTTTATTAAGAAAAAAATTTCAAGTGTATAGAAAAGTTGGAAAGATTATACTATGAGTACTTCTATCCCCTACCCAACATACAGATTTAACATTTAGGTAAATTTGTTTTGTCATGTATCTACCTTTCTGCTAACCCAGCTTACTTTGATGCCTATCAAAGTATGCATTTGATAAGCTCTTTATCCCCAAATACTTGGGCTTGCATCTCTTTATCTATAGTCTGGGCTTTTGTGTTTGCTTGGTTGAGTCCGGTCCTGCTCCCATCTGTCACTCGATGGACCATGTATTTTCCCATAGCAGAATTCACTGCAGAGCCTCCACACTAGAAACTATCTAAGACCCATGTTTATCTTCAAGATGTTTATTGTAAGATAATAAGAACAGAATATTTCTAAATGTAAATTCTAAGCACTCATTATTACAAATTATATTTCAGTTCTGGCCCAGATAAGAAAAAGGCATCTTTTTGGAAACAGAAGGGAACAGAAGCAGTGTTTAAGTATTGGCCTGCTTTAAAAACACTGGGGTGTGACTCTTCTTTTTCCTATATTAGTTCTACTGATTGATACTGCTTTCTTTATTTAATCTTTCAGTCAGTATTTTCTTTACTGTCAAAACCATTGGTCCAATTTCCTTCTGTTTTATAAATATGAGCTTGAGAGTAGTTCTGTATCATTTTAACTTTGTGGGTAACCTGATACTGAGTTTAGGCAGGCCCCTTTGTGGGTAAGTTTCTACACTGTTGGTTGCCTTTCTTTGAGCCTGGACAGACTCTTATCGTTGGCATTGGTGTGTAGGACCAGTTGCAGCTAATAAAGACCTGGCCAGAATGTATAACATTTAGCAGGTGCTGGGTGGTATTTGTCTGTTGCTCAGGTATGTGTTTCCTGCAGGGCTTTCTGGCAAATGTGGCTCTTCTGCCATTTCTTAAGCTAGTGGGACATGTCCAGAATACATATTTCCTACTCAGTGCTGCTGTCCACTAGGAGAACACAGGGGTAAATGCTAGTGTTCCTTGAAGAAATTTTAAGTTAGTGGCTATTCTCACAGTTGTCCTAATTGTGAATAATATGTGGAACTTATAAAAGTGGACAATTAATGTAGCTCTTATCAGAGTATAGCTCTTATCTAAACTTTTTCTTTCTCTCCTAAACACTGGAGGTGTAGAGCATTCATCAGTGAATTAGGATTTTGTTATTTCAGAGAAGACAAAGAGTCTTCAAATGGTTGAGAAAAATGTAAAAAAAAAAATGCTTACTAGTAGGAGGAATTAGGCTATATTCAAAGAGCATTCCATATCAGTTTGGCAGAACTCTAAGGATGCTGACAGTGCCCTGGAAAGGTAGGTGGTCCATGTGTGCTGATGCCTTGGCCATGAATTGGGATCAATTCTGGAAGATACCTGCTGGTGGTGATATCTGCTGTTGCTGCAGATGCTTGGTGCCTGTGGCCCAGCAAGGGTGTCCCCATTATTTCCCTCATAGAATCTTCTTCTATGTGCATGCTTAAGGGGCTATGCATGAGAGTTCACTGTGGCCTCCTTCACAATAGCAAAAAAAAAAAAAAAAAAAAAAAAAAAAAAAAAAAGGGATAAATATTTCATAGTAGATGCAGGAATAGGCTGGTTATATAAAACTGTCCTCAGGCTGAAGTGAATGAACCAAAAATCATTTGTCAGCATGAATAAATCTCAAAAACAGTATTGGGAGAAGAGAGATAATTGCAGAGAAATTTGTGCAATATGGCACTTTTTTATTTAACAGAAGAGAGATAATTGCAGAGAAATTTGTGCAATATGGCACTTTTTTATTTTACGATTACAGGCATGGTGTGTGTGTGTGTGTGTGTGTGTGTGTGTGTGTGTGTGTGTGTGTATGCATGTGCTCATGTATGCAGATATATGTGTGTGAGAGTGATTTAAATCTAGATTCTACATAGAGAAAAAGGGACATTTGTCCTTCTGAATCTGGCTTATTTCACTTAACCTGGCTATCTGCAGGCTATCCCCTTCACATGACATAATTTTGTTCTTTTTATATGGCTGAATAAAATTCTTCAGTGTGTGTGCATCACGTTGTCTTTATCCATTTGATGTGTTGATGGCACCTAAGCTGATTCCTTTGTCTTTTGAGTGGTGCTGCAGTAAATGAGGATGTGGTGGTGTCTCCGCAGATGCTGGTTTAGCATCCTGTGAGTACATGCCCAAGAGTGGTCCAGCTCGGTCACATGGTAGTTCTCTTTTTAAAAAAGAGTTTTGAAAAAACTCCATGCTTACTTCCATAGTGACCACACTAGTTCACATTCCCATGACCAGTGAAACCTTTTACCTAGGTGTTTATTTACATGTTAGGCAGCATATGTTTGACGAATACTTGTAAATAAAAAATGTAAAATATGAATTAATTTAATAGACACCAAATTCAGGATAGTGGTTGACATGGTGGGGGATACTAGTGGTCGGAAGGTTTCAGTGAAGTATAATGATTCCTGAGAACAGCCGCCAGAACATAGGTAGTCGTCATAAGCGACAGTCATGGAGTAAGAACTCTATGCTTAGAGTGTTGGAGTGTCTATTAATTCAATGAAAGGTCATGACAAATCTGGGAAGACAGTTCCGTCTTCTGGTGGAGGCTCTCAGAGGGGTAGCAGGTAATGTGCTGGCTGTGCCACACAGCTGAGGGCCAGTAGAGGTCGTTCCGTTGGCTGTTAGCTCCAGAATGCACAGCTCCTCGTGTTTCTCGACATCGGGCAGTTACAACTTGGCCAGGCTTGAGCAAGAAAGAAGTATTTGGTGCTGGTATCTATACTTTTCTGTGTGCTTGAAATATGTAACAACTGCTGCAAAGAATGTGTTGGTATTATAGTGATTGAGAGTTTGCTTGCTTGTGCTTTTCTGACAAAATCATCATAGCAGGAAGCAGTCGAGTGAGAGTCCATGTAAACAGCTCAAGGTGTAGATTTTTGGGGGGGCGGTAACAAGTAACATTACATATTTAGTGGCTCTCACATTCCACTGTGCTTTTGGTTTAATGTCATGTGTAGCTGAGAGAGGGAAGCCAGGTTTCAGAGGAAAAAAGGGATCATGAAATAACAGGGGTGAGAGAGAAAAGGGAGAGACAGATTCTGAAAAGGGATGAAGCATTTACTATAGACAGGAGGATGGATTCAGTGGACAAACTTAATTCTTAACTTACTCTCCGAAATGCCCCACAGGTAAGTTATTGCTGTATTTTAAAAGCTTGGCAAAGCAGTTTTTGTCTCAGATCCTATGCTCAATGCTTGCCTTCATTCCCTCCTGCTGTAGTCTCATAACACAGTGATGTGATTAGATGATTGTTGCTCCCAATTTACCAGGCTCCGAAAGAATGCAAAATTTGCACAAGGCCACAGTTAGGAAACAGCAGAGTTCTGACTTGTTGCTTAGCCTGAGAGGTAGCTAATTAGACTCAGAGCACATCTTCTCAGTTCATTTCGGATAGCAAATTGTGTGTTGGACTTGCAGGCATGTCACTAAGGAGCATATGGGTACCAGGTGTTGTTCGTGTGTACCTAGAAGGGTGGGAGCTTTAACTGACTTGACTTTTTGTGTTTTTCTTTCTAGACACCACAGGTGGCAGCAGAGAATATCGGGAGTGAACTGCCACCCAGTGCTACCCGGTTCAGGCTAGATATGCTGAAGAACAGAGCAAAGAGGTCCTTAACAGAATCCTTGGAGAGCATCCTGTCCCGGGTAGGTGGCATCCTTTCTTCTCACTTCATTTGAATAATTCTTAAACAGAGCCCAGGATTCAGCTTGATTTTATGTCTCATCAGACTTAGAGCAATAATTATCTACGTTTTATTTATGGTTTTTCTCCATTTACTTATTGAGATGGTATCACACTGTGTAGCATAGCCTGACTTCACACTCCCAGTCCTAGTGCCTCAAGCTCCCAAATGCTGGGAAGTTACATTCCTTTGTTGTCTATCCAATGGCATTCTCTGTTCCCAAGAGTGTTGTATTTGTACAGTCCCTATAAAGAACAGAGATTATGTATGGCAAGAGGTAGCTCCCATCTTCCCTGGTATCCCTGGGGACAACTTTGAAAACTGTCCTATCAGCTCCTTTTGTTAGGTGTTTGGAACTCCCTATAAGTAGATTCATGAAATATTTGACCCATGGGCCAAAAAATATCTTTCATTCATTTACCTGCTATCTAAGGTTACTTTTGTAACCTTAGAATTGAATACTTGTCACAAATGGTAAGATGCTTATGAGATACTTGCTATCAAGACCTTTGTAGAAAAATTGCCCACAAGTACTCTCTAGGAAGATCCAAGTACACTGAGCATTGCCTGGGAATTTCTGAGGAAAAGCCAAATAACTCAGAGAATCACCTGGGAGTTCCTGAGGAAGGTCCAAGTACACTGAGCATCACCTGGGAGTTCCTAAGGAAGGTCCAAGTACACTGAGCATCACCTGGGAGTTCCTGAGGAAGGTCCAAGTACACTGAGCATCACCTGGGAGTTCCTAAGGAAGGTCCAAGTACACTGAGCAATGTCTGGGAGTTCCTTAGAAATCCAAGTACACTGAGCATCGCCTGGGAGTTCCTGAGGAAAGCATCCTCCTATCCCATGTGTGTGAACAGCCTTATGTCACTTCTAACAAATCAAAACTTGGCACCTTTAGGGCTTTCACTGTTTCATTGTAGTTCTTTGAAATGTTAGGGCATATTCCCTCTGAAACATTAGTCAGTTAAACATGACTTTGTCCAATGGTATTACTGAGAATTTCATAACACCCCTTAAGATAATTCAAAACAGTCCAGTTATAAAACCAAGGCTCGAAGGGCTTGCCTTTGAGAGTTCCCAGGGGGATACAGGCTGATCGAGTGACATACAGATGGTTATGACCACCTGTGACTCAGGAAAGAGCTATTTATTGAGTGTGCTTTTGGGAACATCATAGATGGATTGCCGCTTCTTCCTGTCTGTGATCCCCAGCAAATGACTGGTCCACAAGGCTTTGTGGCTCATCTAGGTGGGTATGATCCTTAAAACGATGACAACGACATGATGGTCATAATGGTATGGATATGCTCAGCGGTGTTTGTCCGGGACTTCATTTTTCTGAGCTTACTTAAGGAGGCCAGGCTGCCTCCAGCTGAGGGTGCTTTGGGAGATGTATCTCAACTGCCTTTTCTTTATGTAGGGTAGTAAAGCCAGAGGCCTGCAGGAACATTCCTCCAGCGTGGATCTGGACAGCTCCACTTCTAGTACTCTGAGTAACACCAGCAAAGTAAGCACATTCTCTGTGAGTGGTACCCTACGATCCAGCCAGCCCATCCAGTTCTGTATCCCTCCATATACTGTGTCTAGGCCTCTGTACAAGTGGAAGGCTAATCATGTGATTTTTTTTTAATCGTAACATAAAAGTTTTAAATAAAAAGACAAATAGCTGTTCTCATAAACAAAGAATCAAGATCATAATTTTAGACAAATGAGATCTAACATTTGTAACAACCAATGAGTTTCTTATCCAAAGTAGATTTTGTGCAATACTAAAAATAAATAAATTTGAGAGAGCTTCAGAGGTGGGAGGGTGGGCCGTGAAGTCAGGGAATTATGTGCCATAAATCCCTATGACTGTCCTGTAGCTGACCCGGTGACTGAATACACATGATTGTTTTGTTTAAGCAAGCAGCCAGGCCTTGCCTGTGTTCTGCCACTGAGCACAGGTACGATGAGTTGACTAACAGTCGTCTGTGGTGACACACCTGGTGTGTCCCCTTGCTTTCCTGTCTTGCTCTGGAGGCATTTACACATGTCTGAACCTGGTTTGTTTAACCCTGTGACTGCCAAGAAGTAAATTGGAGGTTTAGTGTTCAGGAGACAGCTCCCTCACCCAACCCACCCCTCCACCCTGTTGTCAGTATGCTCTGATGCAGGAATGAGGGAGTCCAAACTCCAGCTCATCACCAGAGAAGTGCTTTCAGTTTTTCAGAGCCCTGTCCTAGACTTGCAGTTTTCAAAGGGCTCAAATCCTAGACAACGATAAAAAAGACATTTAACACTGTGACATAGCTCACAAACACACACACACCCCTCCCACACAAAATGAATATGGAGTTACAAATGAAATTATTCTCTGAATAACAGGCTACATACACTGTTATTTTCAGCTCTTTTATTTTTAAAATGCTGCTGGCAAGCCACCAAATTGCTATCACCACCTACTAGTGTATGTAGGATGTGGCTTGAGACACATTTCCTTAGATGAGTGCACCTCAGATATTAAGGTGTCTGTGTGGTTCACTTGTCCCAGGTGGGGTCTCAATGCCAAGTCACTGATAACAGCAAGGTGCTGTTGCTGCTCCTGCTGGTTTTGTAGAACCACTTCATTCAGTGAGCTGCTGGAAGCCAGTCATCTGTCTACATGTAGCTTTCTAAGTTAAGACCCAGTGGGCTGTATCACCATCCAGCCTCCTCATGACATGCACTGATCGTACTTCACAATAATTCCCTTCAAGTGTGCAACTGTTGTGTTGCTAGTTTACCTATTGTAAAGGTTGAGTAGGCCCACAGGAGAGAAAGGACAGTTACCTGAGTGACCTGGCATTGGGGAGTGTGGCAGGAGAGCTGCAGACAATAGGTGTTGGTGGCTTGGATGTCAGGAGTTGAGGGGAAGAGGAGTTTGGTAGTGGGAAACTTGGAGAAGGGAAGGATACTGATGCTGTGAATTAAGTCTTGAGGAAAGTTTGGGGGGGGGGGGTTGTGCTGAGGAAATAAGCCAGGGAGGAGGAGTCCAGATAGTTTAGTGTCAATTAAGAAGTTCCTGACACTCCCAGTCTTTGTTTTTATGTCTCCGCCCTCCCCACCCCACCCTGTTTTCTGATATTGCTACCTAGCTCAGGCTGACCACAATATGTATCCTAAGCTGGCCTAGAGCTCCTGATTCTCTGGCCTCTACTCTCCAGGAGCAGCAATTATGGTAATGATCACCAAGCTTGGCTTGTTAGGATTCTTGTTGAATGTTTGAGCAGTTAGTAAGAGGGCATGCCTAATGAAACTTTAGATTATCTCTGTCGAATTAGACACAATACAAACCACTTTAAAGTTGTCTCATCTTGCTTCAAGAAATAGTACAGTGGATTTTCACTGTACTCATGCAACCATGAGAAGCATCAAGAAGTTAAATGATTTCTCTGGAATTGTGATGATAAGTCTCAGTGTGATACACATATTTCCACTTCAGGAATAATACAGGATATAATTTTTAGCATTAAGATTACTGAGTTAATCAGAAAGAAACTTGAAGTGTGGATAAACATCCATGAACACACTTGGCAAAGATAAGGAAGTTGGTTCAGTGGTGGAAACTATTCCTACAGCTCCATACTTACAGGCCTGTGAAGAGCCTGTTCTCAGGATCGTGCAATCTGTTTGTGCTGTGACTTGGAGCAGTCAGTGTTGCAGCTTGTGAACTTCATGATAGCACTTGAGACATTTCCCCATCTCTTGAGCAAGCAGGCACCTTTTACTGAGAAGCAGGTGTTATTTGGTGGCTTTAATAGCCTTATATTTCTGGTAACCTCTCGATGAAATTCTAGTCAGATAGGCTTACACATTTAATGTTTCCCTGTGCTCAGAGAGATTTACCAGTCCCCCTGTTTCTCTGTGTCCTGTCTAATCTGTTGTCTGTCTGTTGTCAGGAGCTGTCCATGAGTGACAAAGAGGCGGTGCCCGTCTCTGAGAGCTCCTTCAAGCTCCTTGGCTCCTCAGATGACCTGTCCAGTGACTCAGAGAGCCACATTGCAGAAGAGTCCGCTCTCCTGTCACCCCAGCAGGCATTCAGAAGGAGAGCCAACACCCTGAGTCATTTCCCTGTGGAGAGCCAGGCGCCTCCAGAGCCTGCTCAGAGCTCTCCAGGGGTCTCTCAGAGAAAACTCATGAGGTATCACTCCGTGAGCACAGAGACGCCTCATGAACACAAGTAAGATTTTCTTAAAGCATCACATTCATTGTGTACTCTGGGTGTACTTGGGGGCTGAAGAGCACCCAGAGTCCGGTTTGACCCTTGACATAAAAACATAAAACGTGAAGTAGTGTTACTGGGTGGTGGTGACACACATCTTTAGTCTGAGCACTCAGGAGGCAGAGGCAGGTGGATCTCTGTGAGTTCAAGGCCAGTCTGGTCTACAGAGCTAGTTCCAGGATAGCAAAGGCTACACAGAGAAACCCTGTCTCGAAAAACAAAAAATTTGCAGTCATGTCATGTTCTTCCTGGCTCTTTAGGAAGTGTGTAGGGATAGTTAGCAAAAGGATAAACATGAAAAAAAAATGATCCTTACATTATCATTAGTCCTTAATGCATGAGATGTTGACTTTGGAACTTGTCTGCTGGTCTTGGGAAAGGTGGCATGTGGGTATAAGTGGAGGAATTTCCTCCTTTGGATGTCTAGATTTGGGCTGTGGTGGGATGGGGACAATGTCCACACAGGCAGAGTGGGAGAAATGTGCTGTGGATGCCCATGATGACACCCAGAAGCTTGGACGCTTTTCCTGGCTGTCTTGATATAGGTGTAACCTGAGCACATCTGTTGAATGACAGACTCCAAGCTGTTGCTTTCTGAACTCTGTCACTGTGGGAATTCTGGATTCAGGATTCACTCCTTGTCTTAGGATTGCTATTGCTGTGATGAAACCATGGCCAAAGGAAAGTTGGCATAGAAAGTGTTTATTTGACATACACTTTCACATCTTAGTCCATCATTGAAGGAAAGTTGGAGGCAGGAATTCACACAGTAGGAGCCTGGAGACAGGAGCTAATACAGAGGCCATGGAGGGGTGCTGCTTACTGGCTTACTCATCATAGTTTCCTCATCCTGCTTTCTTTTTTGTTTGTTTGTTTTTGTTTTTTGAGACAGGACTTCTGTGGTAACTGCCCTGCCTGTCCTGGAACTCCTTCTGTAAACCAGGCTGGTCTCAAACTCACAGAGATCCACCTGCCTCTGCCTTCCAAGTGCTGGGATTAAAGGTATGTGCCACCACTGCCCGGCTCAACCTCTTTCTTATAAAGCCCAGGATCCCATCCCACCAACAATGGGCTGGGCCCTCCTCCATCAGCCACTAAGAAAACGCCCTACAGGTTTGCCTACAACCCAGTCTTATGGGGGCATATTCTCAATTTAGGCTCCCTGTTCTCTGATGACTCTAGCTTTTTTCAAGTTGACATAAAACTAGCCAGCACAGTCCTTTTAAGAATTGGGCTCAAGGCTGGGCAGTGGTGGCGCACGCCTTTGATCCCAGCGCTAGGGAGGCAGAGGCAGGCGGATCTCTGTGAGTTCAAGACCAGCCTGGTCTACAAGAGCTAGTTCCAGGGCAGCCTCCACAGCCACAGAGAAACCCTGTCTCGACATCCCCCCCCCTCAAAAAAAAAAGAAAGGAATTGGGCTCAAATAAATGGTTAAACTTTTCTGGCCATAGAGGAGCAAAAGCAGTGTGGTGGCAGAAGCTGTCCCTGTATGCTGGATCTATAAGTAACTAACTCCAAGTACCAGAGACTATAATGGGACCCCAAATTATCCGTTAAGATAAGCTTAAAAATGGGGCCATTCCTGTGTATGGCAGCTGCCTCCCTTTAGCTGGTGACAGCAGAAGTTGGGGACATGTGACCATGTGGCTTATACCAGGTACAGCCATTTGAATTAGTGCAATGGTTGGGGTTTGTTCTGTGTGGAGGGTGACATGTGCCATACAGAGAGCTGTCAGCTTTGCTTCCCTAAACCACTCACTGGAAATCATCATTGGTTCTTTGGAATTGAGCTGGGTGACTGATGGCAGGAGAACATCCTGCAGGAGATGTTAACAAATGTGAGGGTTCCCCTGACAAGTTCCCCGTTTTCCAGTACACCGAGAGCACATGGCTGTGTGGCCTCTCAAGCGGCACATCACACACGCACACGCGCACACACACACACACACACACACACACACACACACACACACACACACACACACATGTTTGGCAGTGGAAACATTCCTACCTGAAAAGCTCAAGTTCTATTCCAGTCCCTGGGGTGGGAGGGGTAGGGGTAGGGGTGTGTGGTGGAGATCAAGTGCCACCACTTTCCCTCTCTCTCCAGGAGCTGTGCCATGGGCTGTGATGGACCAGCCATGGGAGGGATGGGGAGATGTCCACCTTGTCCTTATCGCTTTTGCTCTCTCTCTTGTGACTTTCCTCCTCAGTCTATAGGAAATAGGGCTTTGAAACTCAGGGCAAGATGTCCTAAAGGGAAATATGGCCTCTAAATTTTGGCTTATTTTCTTTTGGTTTTCTTCTAAAATGTGTAAATTCCCAGCAAGGGAACAGAGCTGAAAGTATTGTTGGAGGTACAGAAGTGATCAAGGACCTGACAGTGTTTGTCTGTGAGAGCAGAGAGCAGTGAAGAGGCCCCGACTGCCATACTCAGCAAAGCCATTCCTTCTCTCCATTTCTGTCCTCCGCCCCTTGCAGTCTGTCCCCTCTAATTCCACTTTCTGTGATTGCTGTTTAGTGTGGACCGTCTTCCTGGGGGTGAGTCTAAGTGCTGTTCAGGGCAGCCTTCAGTTCCTCCTCCGGCTCGTCTTAATCCCTCCGCTTCCTCACCCAACTTTTTTAAGTACCTAAAACACAATTCCAGTGGCGAACACAGTGGGAATGCTGTGCCCAAAAGGTGAGCATACTCGCATGGCCATGTTGTCTGTCTGCCCAGGAGTTCACACTGACTCAGCCCAGCTGCATGGGGGCTGTCTTTGCGGGAAGCCATAGTCACTGCTTATAGAGAGGGCGGGGCCTTTTGGTTTTATTTGGCTTCACTGTCATTTGAATACTTAATTTCTTCTTTTTTTTAAAAAAAAAAAAACTACTTCAAAAAGTCTCAATGGTAAACTGTTTTTACACTTAGCTTCCACGTCACTTCACCTTTATGGGAGCACACACATGCATGGGCACAGGCTAACAGCTGTGTTTGTATCACTGTACTTTGTACCATGTCAGAAAGTCTGATTAATTTAGATACATGCTTGTCATTTGGAGGATAGACGGATTTTTTTTTTTCTAATGTAATTCATTGACTGAAAATGCAAGTTTTACTCAAAGTATTTTGATGTCTTACCTGGTTTAATTAGCATTACAGTGAAAAGGGTTCCTTTTTAATTAGAATTTTTTCTGTGTGTGTTTATATTTCTTCATCCTAAACTCTTTTTTTAACCAAACTCTTAGTGTCTCCTACCGTAATGCCCTGCGGAAAAAACTCCATTCTTCCTCCTCTGTGCCAAATTTTCTAAAATTTCTGGCTCCTGTAGATGAAAATCACACCTGTGACTTTATGAACACGAACAGGTAGGGCTCCATTTAAACCCTTCAGATCTGGCTGTTCTGAGTTACTGTGTGATAAATGGGGCATTTCACTGGTCTTTTGCCATTTGGAACATGATAGCTAAGTCTGGTGGGTTGCCTTTCTTCTGCTGTTTCTCCCCACAAGTGCCATTTTTAAAGCATGAGTCAGCTTGCTCTCCAGTTTTGCACGGGATTGGTTTGTGGGCATTGTTACCCTCAGAAGAATAAAGGGTCTCTCTCTCCCGGTTCTATGGGGCTGTTGAAGGACAGTAGCTGTGTCTGTCCTCCAGAAGCCAGAGAACCGATCTGCAGGGGTGGTGACCACCTCACTGCGGTGCACACTGAGTATAAATCACAAATGCCTGCCCAAATCGTCTTGTGAATGGAAAGAAAATTATTGAGATGCTACTTATGTGTCAGCAATTATACTGTGTTTTATAGTTTTAAAGCTAAAGGCTTTAGAGCAGGCAACATCACCAGCCATAGTATCATTAATTCCTTGGTGGTTCTCTCTAATTAGACTACAGCTGGTGCTCTGTTTGGGTGTGAGTGAGAGGGTGGTGTGTGTGTGTGTGCATGTGTGGAGGGATGTGATTTGTGGCAATCATGGAGATTTAGGCTGGTGCTGAGAGAAGTAAACCCACATGTTAACTAGGATGGATTGGAGTTCTGGTGACAGTGCCCAGCTAGCAGGTTTTCCTCATTTGAAGAAGAACCCAGAAAGGCACAGTTGGAAACTATGATCCTTGGAGCATACTCCTTAGAATAGCTTTTATGAGAGCAGTGGTGAAGGGCACTTGATGGTCTTTTTGTGCCATGTCCTTTAAGAATACTGACCACTGGGACTTTGATTTAGCTTCTGGGGTTCTCAAGTTACCTGTTTATGGAAGGATAAAGTTAGCTGATGCCTCATGGCCACTCATGAATCAGTTGTCTTGCCATTTTAGGGACTTTGAATCCAAAACAAACCACCTGGGTGACACAGATGGGACCCCTGTGAAGACCCGGCGGCATTCATGGAGACAGCAGATATTTCTTCGAGTGGCCACTCCACAGAAGGCATGTGATTCCCCAAGCAGATATGAAGGTAAGGCCATCCCGAGGAGTAACTGAGCATCACAGAGGCCCCAGATGCCCTGACACTGGGAGGAAGGTAGAGAGTGGCTCACTTGGCTGGAGTGTCAGAGGTAGTCTCTAAGATGAAATTAGGGAAGGACACAGAGGTCATGTAGGACCAAGTGTACCTTACCAACCTTGTTGGGATGAAGTAGGTGCTGGAGTCCTCATTCACGCTCCAGTACTCCCCAGAGAGGACCTGAGGCTGGATTGAGCTGTCTGAAATTCTCACCAGGAACCCTAGGATCATGACTTTTCTCACACCTAGACAACATAATGCCAATTAGATGCATGTTTTTGCAGGTGGGGCACTGTGTGGCCCTGTCTGGCCTGACTCTGTGTAGACCAGGCTAGCCTTGAACTCTGAAACCCCCTGTTTCTGCGTCCCAAGAGCTAGGATTAAAGGCATGTGCTAGCACTCCTGGCAGCGATTTGAAATCCATAATATTAGAAAGAAAATCATCGAAGTACTGGTGAAAAACAACCCTGGTGGCTTCTTCTACAAACTCAGATGCTCACGTGGCTGTCCATTCTGCTTTTAGACTCCAGCAGTCTAATCCTGAGCTAATCAGAGAGTCCTTACTGTTTCCTTAGGTAAAAGAGCAAGGCAGTGATATCTGTACTCACACCTTTCATTGCTCTTAGAAGAGCATTTAAAGTGACAAGCCAGTAGTCATTCTAAAAGTGTGATGTTTGCTGCTCGATAATGATACTACTTGCAAGAGTGGTGGTGTGGTCTGTAAATTAGGGGTTCTGATTTTTGTCTGAGCCACAACCTGAAAAAAAAGGCTACTAGTGACTAAGGACAAAATACAGAAAAAGAAGGGGAAATGCAAAGTGAATGGTGTGGTAGTGGTGAAGTAGTTAGACTGGACAAACACTGTCTCTAACCATACTAGCCCAGCATGTCAGTTTCTGTGTCCAAGCCCCTGTGAACTAAGTCTCACGAATCTGAATTTATATCAGAGACCTGTCTGAAAAAGGCAGTTAAACTGTACTTACAATCTCACTGTCTAACAATCTCACTGTCTAATAAAACTAGGGAAACATCTTCAAATATCCCTCTCTCCCACCCATGCTATGGATAGAACCCAAGCCCCTGCACATGCCAGGCAGGTACTTGACCATTGAGCTACACCCCAGCATGCCTCTCTCCCCACTGAGTTCAGCAATGACTACTTGGAGTTTTGTGAGACTGACAGGCTTATATTAGCAAAGTCTGAGAGGGCTAGCTCTACTTCTGAGCGACAAAGGGTTGGTCCCTGCATCTGAGATGGTAGATCAGATATGCAGCACTCACCACATGGAAGCAAAGCTGCAAGATCAATAGGAAACCATCAAGAGTTAACCAACTGTGGCCAGACAAGTGTCTCCACAATGCAACAACCATAGATCGTGAGGTGAGATACTAAAAGCTGCTTGGTGGCTTAAATAGAGGGTCCCAGGGCTTCACGGTGCTCCCATATCATTGCTCCCATATTGTGGTGCCACTTACTGTTGTTGCCTCCGAAACCCAGGAGAGTATGTTCTCTCCCGTAGTGCTGTGGGTTCTCTGGGTGGAGGATTTGCAGCACTGAGCATGTGAAAGGACCATACTTGGTAAAGTATTCACTCCATCCAGGGTGGTATCACGAGAGTGCTAGTAAATCAGGGCAAAGCTCTGGCAGGTTGGGTGTGTTCAGGAATGCATCTGAAGGCATGGCTGGCTCTTCTGAGTAGAAGAGAGAGATGCTCTACCTTCGAACTAGCCTCTTGTTTTCAGAGCTGTTACGATAAATCTTTCCGACAAAAGCCGGCTGAGCCCCACCGCCACGTGTGAGCTTTACGCCAGCCGCCCGCCCGAGTTAATTTCCTAATATACAGTGCCTCACTGTTGCCCCTACCATAGACAAGGGGGTGGTAGTGCTCTCGTCCCTGGGTGAAATTATGCACACACCTGCCAGTTAAGTGGCTTTGTCCAACCATGGATCAGAACAGTATTATGCCAGCTTTAATGAGATCAGAGTCCTTTGGCAATCCTGTTGAAAGGTGGATTGTGATGTGTGGGTCCAATTACACCCCAAGCACCTCCATTTGTGAAAGGCTGCCACACTGTTGCTGATGTGGACAGCCCACTTTGAGCAGTAAGGGCTTAAAGTAGGTAGCCACATGCATATGATCCAGGTCTTCCAGGCCTAGCTATCTCTCTGTGAGACTGCTCTGGGCTTCTGCAGGTAAACGCAGGTCTCCAAGGTCCCAGAGCCTCCAGTAATCTTGGCTCTCGGTGACTTTCTTATTTTCTTTGTGGTGGCAGGAATTGAACACAGGGCCTCATGCCTGTTGGACTCCTAAGCCTTTTATGAGAAGAGCTGTGTGTGTGGACAAACAGGATGTGGTGGGGAAGCACAGTGATAAGGAACGGGAGTAAACGTGGAGCTGCTGCTGCTGTCCCGGGGAAGGCACAGCAAAGGTAGCCTTGCCCATGGATTGCTCAAGGGCTCAGCGTCTACAGCCCAGCCATTTGTTTTCTCTGCCAAGGGCTCTCACCTAATTGTCAGGCCTGCACCAGATGCTGGAAATCAGTGTTTAACTAGGTACTCGGTGGCTCGTGCCCTCCAGTTTTTTTTTTTCTCAGTATACCATACAAAAGAGAGCTCTTTGTCATTATGGACTAATTTTTAGGCAGCTCTCCACTTGTAACAGGAGAGAATCTTTTTGTCTGTCTGTGCCAGAGAACAGCTTTAGTCTTGGTCTAGTTCTTTTCATCTAAGCATTTCATATCACAGTGTGCATTTCACCAACAATAGATGCCTTCAGACTTTGACAAGTCTTGAAAAAATTATGCTCATTCTGGCATAAATAAGAATGATTTATTGACTTGAACCCATTGTGTGAGTATATAGTCCAGGGAAGCCAAAGTTGAAAGGATTTTTGTCTTGTGAGTACAGCTGGGTCAGCCTGCCCCACTTACAGCATGAAGAACTCTGGATTAGATAACATATGAACTGGGCTGTAAACAGGGCCCAAGTAAAGAACATAAGTGGTCTTCATTATGACTTCTGTGTTACTGAGAAAAGGGTAGGAAGCATTTTGTGACTGATTTGTTTTCAGGAATATATGTACCTTAAGGAGATTTTAATGGATGGCATAAGTGGAATAACATGAACACCATATTCATGTCTATACACTCATTTCCTCTTGGTTAGGGGTTCTTGGCTGTCATTGGACACCACAGCCAACTGGGGACGTAGTTGTTGAAACTGAGTCGCCAGTATCCCAGGCTGACCTGGAACTCACTGTGTAGCTGATGCTGGCCTTGAACTCTTGACCCTACCTCCACTTCTGATTCCATGGGTGTGCCACATGCCTGTTTTTTGATGGTGGTGGTAGTGGGTAGTATCGTGTCTTTTTGGTTTTTGTTTTCTTTTGATGTAGTGCTGTGGACTGGACTGAGGGCTGCTGCATGCATGCAAGGCAAGGATTCTACTAGCCCAGCCATATCCCTAGTCTTCCTGGAAGGATTTTAAGTACCCAAGCTGGACCTGTCCTCCATATCCCCAGTCATGTTGGGATTTGACGTGGGTTCTTTTTCCTTTGGAAGCTCCCAAGAATTCTGATTGCTGCTATATTGAGACCAAGCAACCTCAGGGGTGACTGGAGACGCTGTCACCACTTGGTGGCAGTGTTTCTCCCCTGTCTTGATGGCTCTAGTATCCTATTCCCAGGAAAGAACTTGCTTCCTTCCCCAGCATTGTTTTGTTTGTGAGTTGTTAAGATAGTTGCATTTCCTGTTCACTTGCAACTTACTTGAGCAGTGAGTTGTGACATCAAGTTTCTCTCTTTCTAGAGGATTTTGTGGCAAGGGCAAAACAAGAAGCTGATTGTGTCCAGTTGACAGGTGTGATGTTTTTCTTTTTAATTACTCTATTTTGAGATGGGTTTTGCTCTGTAGGCCTTAGCCTCCCAGATACTGGGGTTGCAGGCATATGATGCCACCCCAGCAAGGTTATTTTTGTTTACTTTGATTGAACTTTGCTTTTCTATGATGAATAAAGACCAGTTTTTGAGTGTGTGTGTGTGTGTGTGTGTGTGTGTGTGTGTGTGTGTGTGTGTGTGTGTGTGTGTGTGTGTGTTGTGCCTTGTGCTTCTTGGTATGTCACTTCATAAGTCAGGGAAGCCACAGTGACTGGCCTTGGCTGGCTGCTCGTGTGCCTGTCACCACTGCTAACCCAGTCCTGTTGGCTTTTCCTGGTGTGCCTCTAGAATTTAAACAGCTAGTCCTTTCCCTTTATATGGGGTGATGTGAAAACATTGTTGCCCTGACAACTTCTGCTTGGTAGCAAGACTCATGGAGTAGAGCTGAGGGTTGTGTATGCAGCAATAGGAGCTGAATGGCCTGGGTGTCAGGTGACCATGATTTGATTGCAGCAACCAGCTACCCAGATGGCAGGGAGTTCCTCCATAGGGTCAAGTGGCTGCTTGGAGCATGTGTTGTGTCCCCCAAAATAGATGGTTTTGTCCTCCTTATTTTTAATTTTGAGGGGAGGGGTCTTACATAGTCCATACTGACCTTGAACTCTGTGTACCTAAGGCTGGCCTTGAACTAGAAATCCTGTGAGTACTGGAACTACACATGTGTTTTTCCATATCTAACTTAATGTGTTACCATTAAACTTTAATCTGTAGGTTCCAGTGACTGTTGAAGTATTTAAAACAAGGCAGTGACAAGAAGTTTAAAATGTTTTCAGGGGGATAAAATTTGTGGGCTTGTGCAAACATGAAACAGCCTCAAAATGAAGGCTGGGGTGAGAGTGTGGCCAGCAGGGTGCAAGAAGGCTCCAGGCTGTGCAGGAGCTGGCCCTGTACTTACAGCTCCCCATAGTGAATGTCTTCCAACATTCTACACTGCACAGCCTGCTGGGCTCCTGGTCCCTGCACAAGCAGGCATCCTCTGCTGTGTAGCCTACAGTCTCCTTAGGTCCTAGGATGACC